CTGATTGCACAGGATACGACGGAATGGTGGAATATGCCTCGAGCCCTATGTGACATGGCACAACAGATAGTAAATGAATGTATTACAAACAGGTTAGTCTGCATACAAATAAGTCAAATCTGTAAAATGGATTGTGATAGGCTCGAGAACGACAGAGACTGCTGTTCAGCAGCTTGAAGATCTTGATTTAGTCTGGTTTAAAAATTATCAAGAGGCCACAGGAACAGCTTTTAGTTTTAGACAGTAAATTGGGGAAAAGTCTGGCCACTGGGTATAAAAAGGCCAACTGACTCAGTATTTACCTCCTATTTGGTTTCTGGACCGAACCTGCAAAAAACCGACCTAGCTGTTGCGGCTTTGCACATTGGGCAGCCAGCATGTGTACGGGCGACTGCACAAGAAGGCCTATTGGCAGGTTCATTTTTGAGATCATCTTCATCGCACATCGGACATGACCATAAGTGCTCCATCTCCTCTTGCGTATGTCTCCAAGTGTCTTTAGGTTAACAACTCCCCTTCTATTCTGGCTGATGTAACAACGGGCAGCTCCCGCATGGTTTTTCCCTCTTGCGGCTCCAATTGGTACATCCACATATCCCGCCACACGTCCTCGTCGTGTACTAGGATAATGGTTCTTCTATTTTATTTCTTCTTCTTCTTCTTCTTCTTCTTCTTCTTCTTTTCGTTCGTCCGACATAACTGCGTTGTGCCTGTTTACAGTTTCATCCACCAGACTCAACTATCACAGCCTGTAACTGATAACCCCTTAGATACCTTTCCAGGCAGACTACCCAGAGGAGGGAAGGCAAGTTACCACTGCACATCCAGACACAAGTGAAAAAAGCATTTGATAAGGAAGAACAAAACAGTGTGGAAGGTAAAACAGCTACGCTCAGTCAACTTGATGAAAACCAACAGAATCTTTCGGTTCGTATCTACACAGATTGGTCAGCACAAAACGCAAGCCAACATGGAGGAGCAGGAAAGTGCATTGAGCATTCAAATAATACCAGATATACAGCCAAAATACGTACAGGCAAACGCCGTCCAGTTCAAGCCATCAAGATAAGCAGACCAATTGCTAAATACCAGTCATATTTCACAACCCGTGGTTTTGCTGACAGATGTAAGAGCGGTACTTCAAGCAGTCGAATCTGGAACATCACCAGTTATACAGACACTACTATACAAACTAGGCAACCAGTGTAATGTAACTATACATGAATACCATCCCTCTGGAGTTCACTGAAATGATAGAGCTGATAAACTATTTAAGGAAGGTGCAAATGGACAACCTGACGTGCCCAGACTCCTATCAACTGAAGAAGAGAATAATCAAATCATTGGAAAAAAAAGGTCCGGAGATGTGAACCAGCGTCATTGCACACGGTTATAAACCATAAGTGCTCTGCCACCAGTGAGGACAGCTGATAAGAAACTTTCCGCTTGTGTCGCCGTCCGCACGTAACTCTGTAGCTACAGCGACGTTCCTCCATTTACCACAGAGTATCACTCTGGTACCCATTTCCTGGGGGTCGCCGTGGCCGAGCGGCTAGACGCTCGCCGCGGATCGGGAGGGTCGTGGGTTCGCTCCTGGCGGAGCCGGGACTATTTTCAAAAATTACCTGGCTCTCAGCCTTGAGTGCGGTACCCGGGTGGCAGTTCCGGCAAGCGAAGGCGGCCGGCGTTGATGCTGACCACATCACCCATCTTGTGCCGATTGGTCTATAAAAATATATGCCTAAAGGCGTGGAAAAGGGTCCTTTACTTTTTTTTTTTAATTTTTATCCATTTCCTAGAGGCTGGGTGAACCACGGAAGTCGCCCGGTTTCGAACACCGACCGTGGCTGCAGCGAGTCGCAGCTGGCTTTGAAAGCGAGCCTCGTATCGACTGCGCTAACGCGGCTCCAAATCAAACATTGAGAGGGCCACCAACAATGACACAAGACGATTTCCATATTATAGACAAGAGCAAGTAATTATTTTACGCCTTAGAAAAGGGAGCAATCGCCTCTGCGCTGAGCAAACATGTACACACAATTTATTTAAGATTGGCTAATTAACAATGTGTACAAGTGTATTGACACCTGAGACCCACAGATCACGTCCTCCAAGTTGTCACAGATACAAACAGTTTGATGAAAACTTCTGGCCAAGCACCGCCTTCGCTCCAGATAAAGAGTCTGCCGTGTGGCCAAGTGAAACACTTGTTGAATCCAAAATGTATAGGTCGCGAGGTGAATTGACAAAGACTGAAAAATCACACAATATTAGAGACAGAAAATAAAAAAAAAATTTCGGGCGAACGAAAGAAGAACTATATTGAACAGAATAGGTTCTAAGATACTAGACTTCGGGACTGACTGGCCTCAAGATTGAATTGACGGATTTAGAAATCGAGATCATACACACCGCGCATACCCCCTGGTGCTCCAGTTTCCTGCCAGAAAATATCTTTAGATGTTAGATGCTAACTGTTACCGAAGCACACTGATTATACACACATCGCTCTCTCTTCCTCTTATACGTCCCTCCTAGCCAGACCCCCACCTGATTCATCGTTTCACGGCCATTCTTACAGATAATATTCATCTAGCCCTGTGCATTCAATCAGCATTCGCTCGTAAATGGTCTCAGAAGTCCCTTTCGTTCAGCAATATTGTTCCCTAGTTATCGCTCTCATAGTCAGAAAATCCACTCTTTATTTCCTCGCTCTCCTGAATAGCCCGATATTATATCCCAGTGGTTTCTTTTACTGTTAGCATCATTTTGCTTGTTATCCACAAATGCCACAGTTGTCCATTCTGAACCTCCCACAGCACCACTGAGAATCAGTGACTACATTGGCTTTAGATGCTCTATGTTCTGCTATTGATTGAATTTAAAATAAATTAAAGGACATCATTTACAAATCTTTCACAAGGTGCTAGACCATGATTGAATAAATGTTTATTCAACTTTATTTTTCAAAAAATTTTCCATTTGCATCTTCTTTTGTTTTTTTTTTCTTTTAGTGATGATCCTGAGCAGTAGTCATTTGTACAACGATATCCTGTTCAAAATCATCCATCGTCGTCTTCAGCGTTCCGAGCCCTGAGGTTCATTGTTGCAGATATCACACGACGCTCTCCATTCATCCCTGTGGTTGGCCTTCTTCAGCATTCCGAGCCCTTGAGGTTCATGTTGCAGATATCACCCGCCTCCATTCATCTCTCTCTGGTTGGCCCCTCTTCAGCATTCCAGAGCCTTGAGGTTCATTGCTGCAGATATAACCCCCTCCATTCATCTCTCTGGTTGGCCTTCTCTTTTTCAGTTGGTAACGCCAAGTGTTTGTAGGTTCTGTCTGGACGTTCAAACCCCCCCTAGCCACTAGCTATATAACTATATTATGTAACTAAGGCAGAGCCCAGTTATCTGTCAGCTCTTTCATTGTCAGCCACAAACACCCGCATTCCCTGGGAAAACAAGAACAGACCCAACTGCCTCCCCAACAAGCACGTAACAAGAGTTGACTAACCGGGTGCCCTTCCTTCAAAATCAGGTGCATCTTCTCTTCGAGGCAAGGAACCAGCAGTCTGCATACAGATAAGCAAGATCTGTGAAACGGATGTACACGCAAAACTCAGGTCCTGGAACAAGCCAAAGTCCAGGAGTGGACGAACAACTAGGTTTTTCCGCCGGAGTTTACAGCCTGTGAACGGAAACAACAACAATATTTAACAGACTTATATTTAAAAAAAATATTATCTCTATCATGAACAACAAGCAGCCATCAGAGCAGCAGGGGTTCATTCTCTCACCATACCTATTCAATATATACGCAGAAAATATAATAAGAGATGTCAAAAATGACCAGACTTGTAACAGTTATGATCCGCTCAAAATTGATGGCAACCCTATTCCGAAACTCCGCTACGCAGATGACACAGTCCTCCTTTCGAGCAGCGTAAAAGAATAGAAAATTTAATATTGACTGTCCAAAAGCACAGTGAAGATCAAAATCTGTTCTTGAATTTAAAGAAAACGAAAATAATGTCCACAGATAAAACTGGCTGTCACCCAAAAATAACAATAAATGATGAAGAAATTGAAAATGTCACAAACTTTGAATATCTAGGCTCTGTAATAAACAACAATGGAGACTGTTCGACCGAAATTAAAAGGAGGATGGCCATAGCAATGCAAAGATTGAACGGCCTTAAAAGTCTATGGTTTAGCACTGCAAGGAGATAAAAAATTAGAATTTTGAGAGCATGCATCTTCCCTGTGGCTACATACGGATGTAAGTCGTGGACTATCTCTCAGTCCTTAAGAAAAAGAATAGGGGCTTTTGAGCTGAAATGCTATAAAAGGATTCTCAGAATATCTTGGACAAAGAAGATGAGAAATATTGACATCTTAAAAGATCTGAACATCAAGGAAGATTGGCCTAATAAACAGCATCCTTTCTCGAAAGCTGAAATATTTTGGTCATATCAAGCGCCACGACAGATTGGAAAAAATTATAGCAGAAGGCATAGTACCAGGAAGGACACGAAGATGGGCACAGGATATAAGTATCTCCTTGAGTGTGAAAGTTCATGAGGCGGGAGAACTGGCAAGGAAACCGAGTTTCTTACAGGCAGACTGTGATGAGAGCGACGTTCTGCAAAGGACCTGCTACATGATGATGATAATATAAAAATATTAAATTTATAATTATTTATTTATATTGTTTTATATTTCTTCCCGATTTTTTAAACACCACCTTATTTGTTTCGTTTTAAAAAACAAAAAAATGCATGTAAACTGCTAAAGACTACAACACAGCTGACTTGTAGATTTCAATCTTCAGAAGCATGTTGATTTTTCTTGTATACATGTTAGATTTGGGTTCAATTTAACGGTAAAGTTTTTAAAAAGCTGTCTCTGGTCTTCGGTATCTTCATCATATCACGTCCCACGACAGGCTTCCCGCTGTAAAATTTATTGACACATAAATTGTAGTGAAGTTATCTACAATGTCTGCGAAGGGAAAGCGGTTTCAACAGCGCCCAGGAAAAAGGGATTTTTCCAGGAGAGACGATAATGATGATGGTAGCAAAACTAAAATAGGGCTTCTGTCGGACAATGTGATGTCGTATTACAGGAATGTGTCTACGTCTCTTGAGACTGGTTTTGAGGATGACGACCCAACAGTTAAAGGTATTTAAACTATTAAAAATTATATATCATATCTAGCACCTACAGTTTCGGAAATCTGCGATCATTTGATTTGTGATTTTTTCCGCTTCCTGTTTGCAATGCGGCCAAGGGAGAGAACTCCCACTAAGCCGAACTGAGCCGTCCAGCTACCGTCTGGTATTGAAAGAAGAGCCCTCTCCTCTTAACTTCTACCCCCGCAGTATGGCGGCCTGAAATATCCGTTCGGGGCTCAGTCCAATGAAAAATGCGGACTTTCTGCCAAGGAACAAATCGCGGCAAAACTAGGATTACTTGACAATTTCAAGAGACGCAACATTGCAGACGATAGTAGCAGACAATAGAAGCGACCGGTGACAATGTCGAGCATTTCTGCTGACGATAAAAGCGACTGTTGATAATTTCGAGACATTACTCATTACAGACGATGATATGGCGGGTAGACCACGCGCTCCCACGCAGATTAGCAATACTGTTCTTCTGATTGAGGATTTAGCAGCGATAGATGTCAGACTTGTCACCATGCGCAAAACGCGTTTAAACTCACCGCCGAGTGTATCCCCTGCGCTGCTACACGCGAAGCGGATGGGTGGGGGGGGGGGGGGCTAGACTAGGTGCCTGGGACTCACGAGCAAAGTAATTGGAGGAAGTTGCAGGAGATGCAGTAGCTGCTGCTCGTGAGTCCTAGCCATCTAGTTTAGCCCCTATCTGTGGCGCACGTAGTGGCGCGGGGGATACGCTCGGCGGTGAGGCATAGTCACAGAAACAGGTCAGCAAGTAACATATCGCTGAGACCCTGTTAGAGCATTTGTTTCGTTTTCCCGAGCCGATCCTTGATTTGCCGCGATTTGTTCCTCGGCAGAAAGTCCGACAATGGAATGTGTCAACGGTCGCTATTATCGTCTGCTATTATTGTCTGCAGTGTTGCGTCTCTTAGAATTGTCAGGTAATCAGAAACAATAAGAAACAGGGCCGCAAGTAACATATCGCTGAGACCCTGTTAGAGCATTTGTTTCGTTATACGGAGCCGGCATATTTTTAATAGAACTGAGCACCGAACTGATATTTCAGGCCGCCATAATGCGGGGGTAGAAGTTCGGAGAGCCCCATTATGTTCCCATAATTTCGAGACACGCAACATTACAGACGATAAAAGCGACATGGCGGAGATACGACGCGCTGTTCGTCCTGCCAGGGTGCTATGTCGGTGGCAGGTGGCTTCTGACAGATACTCGTGGCGCTGTCGTCACTGTAGTACTGAGCGTAGCGTGCGCACTGGCTCGTTCTATGCCAGCTGCAACATATCAACTGAGAACATAGTCATTATGTTTTACTGGCTCTTCGATTAAACTCACCGCCGATAGTATCCCCGCGCCGCTACGCGCGGTGCGGATGGGGACTAAACTAGATGCCTGGGACTCACGAGCAAATAAATTGGAGGAAGTTACAGGAGATGTGGTAGTTGCTGCTCGTGAGTCCCAGCCATCTAGTTTAGCGCCCCATCAGTGCCGCGCGTAGCATGGGATACTGTCAGCGGTGCGACATAGTCACAGAAACAGGTCCACAATTAACATATCGCTGAGACCCTGTTAGAGCATTTGTTTCATTATTCAGCAGATCCTAGTTTTGCCGCAAATTGTTCCTCGGCCGGAAGTCCGACAAGTCTGCATTTTTTCAGGACTGAGGCCATGTTAGAGTATTTGTTTGGCCGCCATATTGCGGGGGTAGAAATTTGGAGGAGAGCCCGGTATTAATATCCACAGCAACAGTACAACACACACTGACTAGATAATATAAATTATCATTAATATTATATAACATAAGTTTACTTCAGCTTTGCTAACCAACCTTTCATTTAATAAAATGTATACCATTATCTTTATTGATACAATTGTGTGATACAGTACAGTGTTGTTAGTGTCTCCTTCTGTTATAATTAGTGACTGAGTGTTATCTTCTTCAAAAATAAAATATATTAAAGGGAAACATAGCTAAGTAAATATAGAGGCACAACTCTACTCTACTGCTACTTCCTTCAGTTTACAGTAAGTACTTTACAAATAGTTTTTGATCTTATTTAAGATAGTTTAATTTTAATTTACCCTAAACAACAAAGAAAGGCTCTCCTTCGAACTTCTACCCTAGCCAAACAAATACCCTAACAGGGCATCAGTCATGTGCAAAATGCGGACTTCCTGCAACAAACACATCGTGGCAAAACTAGGATTACTTGACAATTTCAAGAGACACAACACTGCAGACGATAATAGCGACCATTGACAATTTCGAGCCTTTCTGCAGATGATACTAGCAGGTGATACTAGCGACCATTGGCAATTTCGAGACACGCAACATTACAGACGATAATATAGAGATGGTGGGGAGACCACATGCTCCGACGTACATTATCGATAGTGTTCTTCAAATTAAACTCACCGCTAAGCATATCCCCCACGCGGCTACGTGTGGCGCGGATGGGGATCTAAACTAGGTGCCTGGGACTCACGAGCAAATAAATTGGAGGAAGTTGCAGGAGATCCGGTAGCTGCTGCTCGTGAGTCCCAGCCATCTAGTTAATCCCCAATCCATGCCACGCATAGCGGCGCGGGGAATACTGTCGGTGGTGCGGCATAGTCGCAGAAACAGGTCCGCAATTAACATATCTCTGAGACCATGTTAGAGCATTTGTTTCGTAAATCGTTGCCGATCCTAGTTTTGCCACGATTTGTTCCTCGGCAAGAAGTCCGACAAGTCCGCATTTTTCATAGGACTGAGGCCCTGTTAGGGTATTTGTTTAACCTCCATAATGCCGGGTTAGAAGTTCGGAGGAGAGCCCAAAGGAAATCTGTGAGTTCCTGGGAAACTCCAGTATTCTAGGGGTCTTATGCTTTGAAATATTTAGTGAGACTGTATGTAGAGAACTCCAGTGTTCCTTAGCATGAAAATTAAACTGATCTTTGTCAGCCCTGACTGCCTCAGAGACTTTGACTAACCCTAACTCATTACGTGAGGCTACAGTATCGGACATTGCAGGGAACTCCCGGATTTCTATTGTTTGGGGTGAATTAAAATTGAACTACCCTAATTTACTTCTCATGTGGGTTGAAGGGCCCCATTTTTTTTTAGGGGAAATAGTTTTTAAAAACACCCCCTCTAACAGGCATACCATAAAAGTGAATGATTGGGTGGGACACTTGGAGGTCTTGCCATATACTAAAGTGGAGCATAGGAGTCTTGCCATACACTCAAGAGGGGAGCAGCCTAAAAACAGTTTGGAGACCACTGGTGTTTTCTAGTCGACTTATGGAAAATGATGCAGTCTTTGTCAATTTACACATAATTTGTTATCTTGATAAATTTACATATATTCAGATAATGTCATCTGCTGCTAAGTATCGTCAGTCAGTCAGTAGCATGTCCTTTGCAGAACCTTGTCCCCAAAGCAACCATCTGGAAAACTTCATGATCCAATACACCCATCTTTAGATGCTAAGCTCCGTGGGGAAGAATAATTTGCGACCCAGTGCGTGCAGGCCAGCACTGGCTATTGCCATCCGTGAAGGTGTAAAAATTAAAATAATGTTGTTGATCTATAGTTTTCATGGCCATCCTCTTGCTCTTGTAATTGATCTTCTGAGATGTCCTGCCTGTATGTGATATTGCAGCATTCTAACTAGATGGCCAAACCACTTGTTGTTGAATTTAGTACAGGGTGTCGTTCTCCCAATGTGGTTGTTGATTTCTCTCATGCATCTCATCTCGCAGGTGGTGATTTTGCGTACATGGGCATTAGATAATGTCCATGTTTGGCACTGGTAGCTTAATGTTGAGCGGCTGGCCGAACAGTTAGAACGCTAGGCTCTCAAGCGGGAGGCCCGGGTTCAAATCCTTGGTAAGACTGAGGATGTCAGGGGCAAAATAAATCCTCATCTGCACAGTCGTAGTGACAGCACTAGCCATGCAGCCGTAAATCCTCAAGCTCGAACACCCCTCCCCCGAGCCTACACCGCAAAAGTGGTACAATAAAGGCATTAATTGGCAGTTGGCAGCTTAATATTGGAATGAATGTGTTGTTTATTATAATCTGTCTGTTTGCACTCATAGTTATGTTTGGATATCTTGATAGTGGTGATAATTGAAATAAGTTAAATGTCAAAGTCGAGAGGATCAACTTCATTGCACCTGGGTTTTATCCAGTTTGGCTAGTCTCTCTCCGCAGAATGGCTAGCTGCCTGCAGAACACGAACTCTGTAGCTCTGGCGATGATTCCCTTGAAGCGATCCTATGACCTTCAGAAGAGTTCTGCCATATTTCATGATCACATTTTCTAATGTGTAAATTCCCTATCTTGTTTCAGGCCAGATCTCTTAAGCTGTATCTGTAGTGGGCCAGAGTTTCTTCTAGCTTGCATTGTTTTAGTTTTGTTTGCTTTTGATCTTCATGTTGTATTCATTCCGAGCTTGACCTGTTAATGTGGTCTTGCAGTCTATCTTCTTTGCTGTAGAACAAGCACTAGTAGATAATTATGTGGTCTTGCAGTCTATCTTCTTTGCTGTAGAACAAGCACTAGTAGATAATTATGTGGTCTTGCAGTCTATCTTCTTTGCTATAGACAAGCACTAGTAGATAATTATGTGGTCTTGCAGTCTATCTTCTTTGCTGTAGAACAAGCACTAGTAGATAATTATGTGACCTTGCAGTCTGTATCTTCTTTGCTGTAGAACAAGCACTAGTAGATAATTATGTGGCCTTGCAGTGTGTATCTTCTTTGCTGTAGAACAAGCACTAGTAGATAATTATGTGGCCTTGCAGTGTGTATCTTCTTTGCTATAGAACAAGCACTAGTAGATAATTATGTGGCCTTGCAGTGTGTATCTTCTTTGCTGTAGAACATGCACTAGTAGATAATTATGTGGCCTTGCAGTCTGTCTTCTTTGCTATAGAACAAGCAAGAGGAGATAATTATCTACATGTTATCTCCTCTGATATTCAAATAATCATTTTATTGCCTTTAATTTATAGACAGTTGTTTTGTATCCTTCAGTTTCATTTACAAACAGTCATGTTGTTTTTGGCAACTTGCAGATAATTTCCTCAACAATGTCTACAACACACTGAAAGATGAGGGAGTTCAAGTGTCCCAGAACCAGACTGTCAGTCGCATCCTGGAGGTGCTGTTCTCTCACAGTAAGCCTCATCACATGAGAGAGCTCTTCTGCAATTTCTCGGAAAACCTGACGGTCGTGACCTTTGACCGCTTTGCCAGCCATGTGTTTCAGGCCCTAATACTACACCTGCCAGCAATCTACGAGGATAAAAGTGCCACTGGAAGCACAGACAGTTATAAGACAAGCAGTGTTCATGTAAGTGACCTTTACCTCCCCCTTCTTCCTCCTGCTTTACCTTCAATGGGGGGGGGGGGGAGTAAACCCTCAACCAACTCATGCCAAGCTGTGTATCATCATCATCTCAGTTTCCAATTCTGCCCTTAAGCGCTGTGGGGAGGAACAGTTTGCGATCCATTGTTTAATGGGCAGCATTGGCTGTTGTTATTCCATGTCAATGTAGACACTCTTTAATGTCATCAGTCCATCTTCTTCTATGGTGGCCTCTAGCTTTTACAACAGATCTTTTCATCTGTAGTGCCTGCATTGGTAGTTGTTCTGGCTGCATTCTTACTAAATGACCAAACAATTTGATCTTCTGTTTCTCAGTGGATTTGCTGCATGATGTTCACTCTGCACAGTTCACTGGCTCCCAAAGGGCCCTTACAACATCTAGCTTGTCATACATCAATTCATCACCAAGTGGTGCAGAACTGGCCAGTCATTAATAAATGTGTCACTTAACACTTCAGTCACATTAATTGTCACGAGACCAGTTTTACTCTTCTTCAGCAGTCAGCATTTGCTACACATCTCTTCCGGTTTGGGTCATACACAGGACAGTGTGCTTGAGGTCTCCATCACATGCTTCGTAGTTTCTCTTGCAGAGTTTCTGACATCACTTGATGTGACCCGGATCAAAAGCATATAATGAATTTTCCATCCATAACATTCCTGTTTGCGAGATAACAAGCAGGCCTGGATATATTAGATGCTGCCACTCCTCTGGGCGGTAAGCTACTTCATGATAAAGTGGATGTGATGAAGGTTCTATGGAATTGAATGGAGAGTGCAATAGAACAGATAGAGAATCCATTCAGCGAAAGACTAATTCAGTGAGTGGTGAGTAGAGGATCTGGAAGATATTCAACACTGAAGGGAAAACAGAGACAGACGTTTAGTCAGGCTGCAACTGGTACTGTTAGCATGTTGACTCTTGATTTGCTACTGAAGAAGGGGACGTAGCGTGTGTGGGAATGTCCTGAGTGCAGTGATGTCAGTGCTTGAAGGATGACTGATTCATTTATTCTCTTTTAGGGTAGTTTTTATGGGCCTTTGTATGCCTGTGTATGTTTTATTGGTGTGTGTATGTGGTTCCTGAGTGTAAATGTGACTGTGTGTGTGTTGGGTCTGTGTGTATATGTTGTACCAGTGTGAATGTGTAGTATCTGTGATTGTGTGTGTGCCTGTTTATGTTGTGTATGTGTGTGTGTCATAAATGTGTGCACTTCTGTGTGTGTAAGGGGGATGTGCATATGCTTGTGTGTGTGTCTACAATGTGTATTTTTGAAGGTATGCATTTGTCATCCATATTTTTAATTTATACAATAATACATGAATGTTGACATATGAACATAATATGCTTGATGTATGAAATGCAACTGCCATGTGAAAGATGAATGGAGGGGCTGAGTGTAAAACAGGCCTGCATCCCCAATTTTTAACCCTTTGGAAATAAAGTTTATTCTTTCGTTCATAATTTTTTTTCTCTCTTTTTGGCAAAGTCTAGACCGTCATGCTCTGAAGTTTGCTTTGGATGCAGCAGAGTTAGCAAAGCCCATTGGATGTAGGTGTCATCGTCATCAGGTGCCTTGCCGACTGGCACAGGTGATCATGCCTCTTCACAATCCGCGATCTCCTGCAGCATGTATCAGTTAGTGTGCTGACACACCTCCATGCCATGCAACAAGACTGTCAAGAATCTTCTCTCGTTGTCTTCCTCTATCCCTCTTTCCACAGATATTTCCAGTGGTCACATGTTCCATTTCCCTCTTCTCATAACATGGTCAAAAATTATGACTGTCTCCTTCTGTCTGTAATAAGTTGTCTTCGAGCTCCCTCCTTTTTCAAAACCTCTTGGTTGCCAAGGTATTTTAAGCATTCTTCTGTAAAACCACATCTCTGAGGCCTCAAGAAATTGTTTGGCCTGCCTACCGATTGTCCAGGATTCACAACCATATGTTAAAACTGGATGTTTTTAGCAAGCAAGAATTCTTTTTCTAACTCTTACTGACAAAGATATATTGCATAAGATGTTCATTTGATAAAATGCAGTTTTGGCTTGTCCTATTCTGTTCTGTATCTCTGTGATACATCCTCTATCGGATGTTATCCATGTGCCCAGATAATTAAATTCTGTACTTGTCCCAAAATAACACTATTGACTTTTATTACACATTTTGAGAATAATTCTTTTCTTTGATTCCACCACTACTTCTGTCTGATGTAGCTGTACTCCAAATTTAAGACCACCTTTGCTTTTATGTTTAGGCATCAGTACAGCAGCTGTGCACTTTTACAGAGTCTCACCTGAGAGACATTATGACACACACATACGCTAGTCATATCCTTCGCTCACTCCTCGAAGCTCTGGGAGGAGTTAAAGTGAGAGAAGAGGTTGTTCGTAGCCGTATATCACGAGTTCACTGCAAAGGTACTTGTATAAATATAAGTAGTATATGTTAAATGTATTGTTTTTTTTTGCAGTGAATGTATTTTGTAAATAAATATCGTGGATGGTCAATGTTTATTGTGACAGTTTTTCTGAGTAGTGATTATATTCCTTGCCTGATTATTGTTTTTGAGATTTCATTATTTATTTATTTTTACCAGTGACTGTTTTATGGACCAAGTGTTGTCTTAGACTTAGTCCTAGTTTGAGTTGAGGTTTCAACTTCACTGCAGTCGGGTTTCCCCATACTTACTCCTTTCCTGTGCCAGTGCAAATCAAATGAAATCTCCCTCATTGTCGCATTTGAAAAACTAGTTAACAACAGTTTCGGAATAAAAGAAATATGCACACGCAGTTAATGCATATAGCAGTTGCTAGAGGTGCCAAAGCCAACAGTCGCCATTAGATAAGTTGGCCATACACATGTAGAATTATTACATAATGTGTTTAACCAGCCATCACATAAATCAGCTACCGGCCATATTGAATACCACTACACAACCGCTACACATATGATAGAAATTTTACAGGAAAATCACAGCTTACAGGGCTGCACTAAGCACTCAGATCTGTAGCTCTGGCAACAAAACCGTAGACTACCGTCCATATGTGGAAACTGTATATGTAAAGCGCTGTCAGAAGTAAAAATAACTTCCAAGCTGAACATTCTGCCATGCCTAATCCTCCATTTTAGACCGAAGTCTTGGTGTGTGACTGGTTATTGTTTTCTTTCCCAGGTGGGTTCTGGGACCTTTTGGGGAGGGGAGGGAATAAACAGACTCCCCAACAAGCATGTGGTAAAAGATGATGGCTAATTAGGGATGTTTACTTAAAAGTCTGAGTGTATCTGCCAGAGAGCTGAGGAACCAACAGTCTGCATACAAATAAGCCAGATCTGTAAAATTGACCAAAGTCCAGAAGCAGGCGAACAGCCACAACTTCCTGCTGGGTCACTGCTGGTGAGTGCTAAGGAAAAGAAGAGATCGTTTTCTGAACAGTCATTATATTTTGTGTAGCTTAAATAGCACATATAATTAGGAAGAATTTGGAAGCAGCAGAGTTGTTGTTTCTGAGGCACATGTTACGAATACCTTGGACGGCCAGGGTAACTAACAGAGATTGCTTGAAAGAGGCTAATGAAAGTAGATCTCTATATACAACAATAAGAAGGAGACAAACACTGTTCTTTGGCCATATAATGAGAAGAGAGACATTGGAGAACATCGTGACAACTGGAAAGGTGGGTGGAAAAAGGGGCAGAGGCAGACCAAGAGAGATGATGCTGGCTGGGCTGAAACGATGCCATGGAGGGATATCATCAAGAGAGCTGATCCAGGCAACCAGGGATCGTGATCTGTGGAGACTCATGAGCGCCTATGCCAGTTGGTAGGGCACATGATGATGATGATAGCATATATAGATTGTTACAGTTTGGTGTGGCAGGAAGTGAGCAGGGGATCTTGCAGATACTCTACACGCAGAGGGAAGGCAAGATGGGCTATTACATTTTGTGACATGATTAGTTGCTAACAGTTATTACATGTGTGAGAGGAGTGGCTAGCTGAACGGTTAGAACGCAGGGCTCTCATGTTGGAGACCCAGGTTCGAATCCTCGGTGAGGCTATGGTTTTGTTTCTGTCAGGAGCAAAAATAAAAACCTCACCTGCACAGTCTGTGGCGACAGCACTAGCCATGCGGCCGTAAATCCTTTGGCTCCAAGACCACCCGCCTACACCGTAAAACTTGTATAATAAAGGCACTAATTGGTAGTTTTTGGCATTACATATGTGACTGATGGTTATTTTCTAACAAACATTACATTTTGTGAGCGGTGAGTTATTTCTAGACAAACATAACATTTTGTGACTGGTGATTGTTTTCTAGACAATCATTACATTTTGTGAGTGATGAGTTATTTCTAGACAATCATTACATTTTGTGAGTCATTTCTAGACAAACATTACATTTTGTGACTGGTGATTGTTTTCTAGACAAACATTACATTTTGTGAGTGTTGAGTCTTTTCTAGACAAACATTACATTTTATAACTGGTGTTTTTGTTTCCTCTCCAGAGAAAGCCAACAACCAGATGGATTTGTCATGTAAATCATTGTCCAGAGATTTCAAGCAGTCCTTTGGTGCTCTCAGAGAAAAGATTGTGCATCTTTGTAACTTTGAAGGTTGGTTATGATCTATTCAAATATTCACCAGAACATTAAGAGTTACTATGCAATCTATTTTGTAAGACATATTTCATGGGCAATTATCTCCCTATCTCTTGTTTTATTCTTTATGACCTAGTTCTTTTGAACGATCCTATCTATTTCTTTGTGCCTCAGCTCACTTGAGTAATCCTCTCTATTCTCCATTTCTGTATGCCCCAATTCTCATGAGTGACCCTATTTCTTTATGGCCATTTCACTCGAATGACCCTATTTCTTTATGGCCATTTCACTCGAACGACCGTATTTCTTTATGCCCAATTCACTTGAGTGGGGAGCCTCCCTGGTTTAGCGGCTAGACGCTTGCCTGCGGATCGGACGGTCGTAGGTTCGGTTCCTGATGGGGGCCAGACTTTAAAAAAAATAACTTTTGCTTCCAGGTCGACTCAGCGCTGAGTGGGTACCAGGAACAGTCCTGGGAAGTAAAGGCAAATGGCGTAATGCTAACCACATCACCCATCAAGTGCTGTTTGGTCTATAAAATATAGGGCTAGCCCTATATACCCAATTCGCCTGAAAGGCTATGAAAAGGGTCCTTTTCTTTACGGTTCACTTGAATGACCCTGTCTGTTTTTTTTATGCCCCATTTCACTTGAGTGACCCTTTCTTAATGCCCTGGTTAACTTGAGTGACCCTATCTATTTGTTAATACCCCACTTCACTTAAGTGACATATTCTATTTCTTTCTGCTTAGGTCACCCTAACATAGCCTCATTTGCATTATGGAGATAAGCAGGTGAAAGGCAACCCAATCATGAAACTTCACCAGCAGGAGAACTGACTGTACATTGAAACATAGAAACATAATATTATTCTTAGGTGGAAATATAATATAAATATATTCATAAAAACAAGTTAGTAAAAAAAATGATTTTCTGTCTAGGCAAAATTAAAGTCCATCCTGCACAGTCCATGGCAATAGCACTAGCCACGCAGCCCTAAATCCTCCGGTTCACAACCTCCCGTCTAGACCGGCCTAAAAGTGGTAAATACAAACAGTCATGACAGTTGACTAAAAGAGTTAATAGCTCAGCCGCAGTCACTGATATTGCTATCGTCTTCTCCCAGTTCATGTTGTGTGGCAAGGTAGTCACGGCTATCTTGCTGTCGTGTGTACAGTTGGTCATTTCTAACACAGATAATCCTCCATACTGTCATGCCAGATTCTTTTCTCTTGGTCTCTATCTGCCTCTCTTAGACTTATTTTTTAATGAGGTTTATGACTATACTTTTTGTGAAAAAGTTCAGTAATGTAAGTATAATTAGAGCACATTCCAGCTTTTGTAATTCTTCTTCTTCTTCGTGTTCACCAGCTGTAAACTCTGGCGTAAAGTTCTGGTTGTTCATCCACTTTTTGACTGCAGTCCTATTCCAGAACCTGAGTGTTGGGTGTGCATCCGTTTTACAGATCTGACTCATTTCTGTGGCTGTGCAGACTGCAGATTCCTTGCCCCTCAGGCAGATGCACTTTGACTTTGAAGGAAGCTCCTAATTTGCAGACTTTTATGACATACTTTTGGGTAGGCAGTGGGTCTATTCTTGTTTTCCCTATAGTAGGGCCCCGGAAACCCACACGGGGAGTATTTGTAATTAAGACTGAAATTTTGTTTGCAATTTTTATTCAATTATTATTGATTGTGAAATGATGTAGGAACAAATAACTGAATGCAAGATGTAGACTAGTAGGGCAGATCTACACGTCGATCTACATTGGCCTGCCCCCCCCCCCCCCCCCCCTTTTCCCCCCAAGTTGGCAGCTTATTTCTAAAAGGACCACGGAGAGGTGTGGATTGGTTTAGATCTAAATGAATGAAGTGCATAGGGGTTCGTAGCAAAAGCAATTGGACGTCATTTAGCGCAAAAAAGCCTGGCATATGATATCACAATGTCTTTTTGAGAATGGAGGTGGAGGCTGCCTTCTGCTGGATTGAGAATCAGCTGTACACACATGTCAAAATTGTAACTGACTCAGAGTATGTAGAGAAAGGTGGAAACAGGCATGCTGCACGTAGTGGCATGCATTACTTGTGTGTTAGGAAACAAGTAGGCAGATCGACTGGTCAGTTCTGCACCACTTGATGGAGAATTGATGTTTGACAAGCTAGATGTTATGTGGGCCTTTTGGGAGTGAGTGAACAGTGCAGAAGCACAAACAGATCATTATGGTCTGAGGAGAATGGCGCTGCTGGGAGTTACTAGGGGATCTGCTCGATGCTGAACACTCAAAGGAAAGGTGAGACGAATGTACATCTGTGGATTTTCAGAATGATTTCCTTTTCTGTCGCAGATCACTTGAGTGACCCAAGCTATTGTCCTGTGCTGCAGACGTTATTATTGATCCTTCACAAGACGTCCCCTGAGGAGTACAGGAGCCTGGTAAAACTGATCCTGGATAAGTCATGTGTTTCACCCAATCACGAGGAAGCAGACGTTAATGATGTTTCGAAAAGGTACATTGTGCTTTCTGGGTAAATTTTAAATGTTCTTTTAACCAGGAAGGCTAACCCTGCCTGCAGAAGTCAGATGTATCGACCGAAAGGAGCAAATGTGGCCATGCTGTAAAAGGGCACAACGCAATTACATCTTCGAATGAATGCAGAAGAGAAAGAAATGTTCTTTATTTGTTCTAGTTTTTGGCCCAAAGTTCTTTGGTTTGAATCTGTATTGTCTCAAAGGTCTTAGGATCAAATCTGTACTATCTCACAGATCTTAGGTTGAGATCTGTATTGTCCCAAAGGTTTCAGGTTTGAATCTCTGTTGTCCCAAAGATCTTGGGTTCAAATCTGTAGTTACTCAAAGGTCATGGGTTCAAATATGCATCAGGTGGTTGTTTTATAACATGAGGTTCTTGGGACACCCTACATCAGAATGGGTACCAGGAAATATTCTGGGAAATCAAGATAGACAGTGTGATGTTGGCCTCACCCATCGACTGCTAATTGGTCTGTTGAAGTATGGATAAAGCATCATATGACCAATTTGCTAGTGGGAAATTAAGGATCTTTTAGTAATTTTTTTTCCAAATTCCGGCTTAGAATAACAAAAGGTAACATACTATGGGTGTTTCCTTCAACATCAGAGAGCATCTGCCTTAGAGATGTGGAACTGACAGTCTGCATAGAAATTAGCCAGATATGAAAAATTGTTGTGCATCCTAATCTCAAGTTCTGGAACAATAGGGATGTCCAGAAGTGAATGGACAACCAGAACTTTCCACCAGTGATGTTGACAGCTAGAGAACACTATAAAGAAAAAGAAAGACTACAACCTGTGACTTCCAAGTGACGAAGGTACCTCACTGCTTTGATAAAGAAAGGTGTCGCCATAAGCCAGGTGTATCATACAGCTTGAATCCACAACTAAAGAATTCAGTAATACAGTACATTGATAAAAGATGATATGAGAGCGCAAGAAGAAAATGGAGTGACAGAATTATTATTAAAGGCATTGTAGATTTACAGCAGTATTCTTGTTTCGCGACACCCCATTTAGCTTGCTGTTCTTGCAGTCTGACCATGGTGGCTGCAGATTCACAGTTCTCACTTGGTTCACACAAACATCTTAAATCACGAAGAGCCTTCAGTATATCAGTCTGGTCCATGGATTGTCTGGCTTTCACAGTAGCTTTACCTGCAAGTCTATCAGCTTGCTCATTTCTTGGTACCCCAACATATCCTGGCACGAAACAATCCTTGTCAGCCATGAAAGCTGTAGAGCCACCAACCACTGCCTTCAGAACCAGCCCTTTTCTGTCTTTCTGAACATACTCATTAAGTCACTGAGAAAGCATGCCACAGTGAAAGTGGGTCTCTAACTATGTTACTGCTTCAGTCACAACCATGACCTTATCTGCAGTGGTTCTCAAACTTATTTTTGCCGCGGCACCCTTGCCACGCAAATAAACATTTCACAGCACACCTACCCTTAAAGCGGTTTGAATACTTAAGAAAATAAGAACAAAAAGTGCACATTCAATGTTCAGAAGAAAATAAGAACAAAAAGTGCACATTCAATGTTCAGTTGTCTTTAATGCCATCAATGAAACTGTTTGGATGTATTTTTCATTATTTCTTTTCTGTTTATGAGAAATTTAGCTAATTTTACCTCCAAATCACTTGACCCAGAAAGTTTGCTCCTGTATCTTTTTTTTTTTACATAAGCGAACGTTGAGAATACACTGAACCATTCTCCTTGGCTTCCTTCATTGTATTTCTGTTTTAAACTGCTGTCTTTGCTGATCTCAAAGAGATTTTTAAAAATTCTTGATTATTGCTGCGGCACCCTGGCATACGCTCGCGGCACCCAGTTTGAGAACCTCTGTTATACTGTATAGTGTTCATGACTGACAAGACCTCTTTTGACAGGAAGTTCTTGTAGTCTTGTCAGAGTTTCCAATTTATCACAGTCTGTGGACAGATCTACTCGTCCCTTAGCAACTCTGTTGTGAAAGTGTCACATTAAGGGTTTGCCAAAATTGAATGTTGGCCCGCACTTTTAAGAATAGTTGAGTGGATTCAAGAACCGACATCACAGCCCTCAGGGCATTCCCATAAGCAACCAGCGAAGAGTTCTGATACTAATGGTACCAGTAGCATTCTGATTAAACGTCCGTCTTACCTTTCCTCTGAGCCTCGAGCTTCTGCCAGAACCTCTCGTCACTCCCCGCTGCATCAATCTCACCAGACTGTGGTGATCCATCTCCTCCTCCGAACTGTACACGCTCTCCCACAAGGCACTAACCATGTCTGCCTTATCATGCATCAGTATTCCACTAAGTAATGCAGAGCCAACCAGTCTGTCCGCCTTTTAAGAATAAAGGAAGAATAAAATATGTTAAACTAATGAGATCCTGTTTATTCCACAGGCTGCCATTGATTGTTCAGAATGAGGTCGGCTCCTACCTAATAGAACTGATCATCTCATTGGCTGCAGCAGATGAACTACGTGAACTGTATGAGCAAATTTTCAAGGGAAAACTGATCTACTTCGCTGTCCACCCCATAGCTAATTATGTCTTACAGAAGTTCCTGTCTATGGTTGTGGACCCTGATATGGTAAGTCCATTAACCCTCTCGCTCTAGGAATGCTTAAAAAAAATTTAGCCTATTGGAATACCAGAGGGCGATCCCTAACCCTTTCTCTTCTATGTTCCCGGCGGTAGCTGTCTGCCCTATGCTAAGCAATGTGGGGACAAAAGGGTCTCTCCTGCACGGAATACTTTTCTATCCTCCAAACACAAAGGATGCGTTGGTGTTGATGGCTATATTTTGTAGACCTAAAAATATTCACCCTAGGGATGTATGTGGTTGGCTGTAGTGTTGACAAGTCAGACAAACGCTGGTGACGCCAAAAAAAACCTTGTCTTCACAGAAAATTACCAGTAGAAACTGCTCGGCTTCACTAGGGATAGTGAAAGACAATGTATTATATTCATGGGAAAAATGTTTCCAGTCTCTACCTCAAAATTTGGTTGATGAATTTACCGTGGCCCCCACGTTATTCAGAATTAATTGTAGTCACCATGTTTTTACATTAAAAAAAAATTATTATTTATGTCACCCGTTGCCAAAAAGTGGCAGAAACTAAAACCGAAAAGTTGCAATAAAGAAAACAATCAAAAAGGGGGGGGGGGGTGGATATTAACTACACTAGACTTTCATACGTTAACAGCACCCAAAAAAAAAAGACCAGTATTGTACAGTGGAACAGACGGCCTCGTGCATTGTATGTTGTATAGTATAGAAGAACATTAATTTGAATCATCATGTCAGTACGTGACCATTTCCTCTTGTTGATCATTGGTGGTTCTATTTCACACCCCGTCTATGTTGATAGCTGGGTCATACAGCTGGTCTTGCTCATGCCAAAAGTGCACATGTCCGCCTAGATGCAGGGAAGACAACCCAACTCATAACTTGCACATTTCAGAGTGTTCCTTACTATTACTTCTTGAAATTATTTCTTCATTAGCTTCGACAAGTTTTCTCGTCATTTGGTATTAACCAAGTGTAGAATATTTCAAAACCACAAATATATTTCAGGGCAAAAAATATGCAGATCACCGACCACGCTGCCATGGTAAACAGCGCAACATGGTAAAGCAAAATGCAGTAAATACACCTTAAACAAACCTAAATGCGCGTGACAGTGTTTTTAATCATATGTAAACTAGTCAATTAGATATAAATATAGCTTTGACCCTTTGACCGAGAAAACAGTCCATGGAAATTTGTAAGGAAAGTCGAAAAACATGTTTTTACGTTTTTACCCCCCACTCCCACCCCATAAGAGGTCTTGAAACCCTCACAGGGAACCCTTTCCTTGCTCTTTTCTCGTCAGTTTTGCCAGTTGTCACCAGGTTCTGAAGTCCATTCCTTCTCGTAATATTCTATCACCAAAAAGAGTTGATGATCATATTGTTTATCACCTCCCCGTTTAGGTTCCGGGGCCCCATCTTTTGAGCAAAATGGATAGACCCACTGATCCCAACAAGCATGTCATACAAGGCGACTTATTGGGGGTGTATCCTTCAAAGTCAGAGCATGTGGTCGAGAGGCAAGGAACCAAGAGTCTGCACACAAATAAGCCAGATCTGTAAAATGTGTGCATGCAATACTCAACTTGTATTCTTCTTTGCGTCCTCTTTTACTGCATCGGGTGTCGAGGGAGATATAAGGTCCTGCTTCGACCAAAGACACATCATGGTACTGTAGAGTTTCACTGATGTTATCCTTGCATATTGTTCTTGGTCTACCTCTTGCTCTACGTCCCTCTCCTCTTATGGTATATGTCTCGAATGGTATAGCATCAGAAGGCATTCAGAAATGGATGAATAACTTTTCACCTGAGCTTACAGCCAGTGAATGCTACGAAGATATTGTTTGTTGCCACTGACATGTCATGTTGCCTGCTTCCCTCCATGACCAGATGAAAGAGCTGCTGACTGACATCACTGGGTACCTGGAGGATATTCTTGCTGTCAACCACTTGGGCATCATCACCAAACTGGCCCAAGCTTGCAGGAACACACAGACCGGCCAGGAGGAACTGATTAAGGTTAGTTGTTAACTTTATTTTTTTTAACATCTTCTTGCAAACATTTACACATTTCTGTGACCAAAATGTCTGTATTTGACCCAACTTCAAATTATTTGGCACCTTGCAAATTTCATAGTTTTCTAGTTTTCAAAATTGTAAAGAGCTAGAAACAGAACCTTATATCTCCCTCAACACCCACAGCGGTAAAAGAGGAAGTGAAGAAGAAGAAGAAAGGTATCTTTAAGAAAATGCAACACAACAAATAATGTACGGCTAGAGAGATAGGTTAATTTGCATATCCTTTAGGTTGTTGCAGAACCAACCCCAGCATCTTTTTGGCTGTTGTGGTTTTTCTAGGTGCACTTTACGTTCAATAGTTTGCTGGTCGCTTTTTGAACAGTCAGCTCTCAGTACCACTGTCTGAATCAACAAATCAAATCGTATGCTGCTGGGATTGAACCCAGCACACCAGGCATTACTATGCGTGCTCGCAACGCCTAAGCCGCAGACGCTGACAGAGAGATAAACAATACATTAAAAAAAGAGAATCATCATAGACAGACAGCAGTGTGAGAGAGTGTACCACCAAGACAAGAGATAAGGCATGTTGGTGATCCATTGCAAAATACCTTTATTGTAGAGATTACGCCTGTGATGAATGGGTTAAAAGGTATGGTGTTTGTGGCATCATCATCATGTGCCCTGCCAACTGGCGTAGGCGCTCATGCATCTCAACAGATCATGTATTTTTCTCCAACTCTTGCCTAACTGCCTTTTAACTATTTTTAAGTTCTGGTTCAAGACCAAAGTCCAGGAGTGGACAAACAGCCAGAACTTTTCCCCTGGAGTTTACAGCCACTGAATGTCAAGAAGAAGAACATGACAAACAGGACGCCAGTGAAGACTACACAAAATGCCTTGCACTGTTCCGTATGAAAAGTCACACTTGTGGCAGTCCTGGTAAAATCCAACAGCTCACACAAATTTAATGCATAAGGCAGCCACCAGAAGTGCCAACACTGACAGTCTGTCGCTAGAATTGCAGTTCATTACTGATGGAAGCAGCAGTCATGACAGACAAGCAAGTGTACAGAAGGCCTTGCCGACTGGTGAAAGTTTTCACATCTCTGTACTTACAACTGCTGTTCTGTAACACAATGTGTCAGCTCATGTACAGTTGGCTTTCCTAAACACTTTGTCCAGTTTCTTCTCTTTCTGACCTTTCTTTGGAGATTTTCTCCAAGTCTTGCCGTTAGGAAATGAGCAGGCAGATAGACTGGCTGGTTCTTCACCACTTGGTGTTGAATTGAGGTATAACAAGCTAGATGTTCTGAGAGCTCTGTGGGAGTGAGTGAATAGTGCGGAGGCACCAATAGATCATTATGATCTGAGGAGAATGGCACTGCTGGTAGTTACCAGGAGATCTGACAATCACTCAAGGAAAGGGCAAGACAGATATACAATCAGACAGTTACTTGTACCATTGGAATTAAAACTCTGCGCGTGTTGCTGAAGATGGGGACGGAGCACTTATGGGGGGTGTCCCAAGTACTGTGATGTCCTAATTCAACATTATTAACTCCTTGATTTCTCCACTAATGCACCAAGCTGGGCACTTTATGCATTTCTTTTTCCCTTCTCACAGGGTGCTTGAAATATTTTCCCTGTAATTTCTGTGACAATCTGATAAGTCAAAGTAGCATTTTGAATAATTTCTTTCAGGCTCTTCTGACAGCATTCCATTGCCAGGAGCCAGTAGAAAAGCAGACCAAAATTGTGCCTCTTATTGCATCATTACAGACTTTTGAGACTTTTTTCGGTGAAGAAGAAGCATCCAGTGAGGTAATATAGTGGTTGGGGAGTTAAAGGTGCACATGGATGCTGTGGTTGAAAGGGTTAATTTACTATATACTACCGTTATTTACCTTACACTTAAACTGTTAATTAAGAACTTGAATTCGTATACATTGCACCTTCTTCTTTTGTTCACCGGTTGTAAGCTCTAACGGAAAGACCTGGTTGTTCGTCCATTTGGACTTTGGCTTTGCACGGAGCCTGAGGTTTTGCATGTACATCCATTTTACTGGTTTAGTTGTGTGCAGTTAGTTGTGCCTTGCCGCTCAGGCACATATACTCCGACTTCGAAGGAAGTCCCCAATTAGTCGACTCCTATGACATGCCTGTTAGAATGGGGGGGGGGGGTAGGAGGGGGATAAGTCCCTTAATAAGCATGTTGTAAAGGGAAACAAATTAAGGGTGGATTTGCTTAAATCAGATGTGTTGTGCCAAAAGGGGCAGATATCACAGCCAGGCTGTAAGCCACAACCCAACATGCCTAGTGCAGAAAAAAGATTTACTCTGTGTTTATTGCTCACAGTTAACTGATAACCTTTCCTTCCTCTCTTCCTTACTCATCAGAGTGTTTATGGGAAGATGTAATGATCTTCTGTGTTCTGTTTCTTATGCATTGTATACATTGATCATTACTTCTTTGAGACTTCATGATGACATCGTTTGTAGCAGCAGCCCCCTTCCTCTCCAGCCTATTATATTTCTTTAGCATCTCGTTCTGTAGGGGGTCGTCGTGTCTTAGCGGCCAAATGGCTCGCGTGCGGATCAGAAGGTCGTGGGATTGCTCCCTGGTGGAGCTGGACTTTTGTCAAAAAAGACCTTGACCCTCAGGTTGACCCAGCCTTGAGTGGCTACCGGGTGCAGTTCCGGGAAGTAAAGGCGGCCGGCGTGATGCTGACCACATCACCCATCTTGTGCCGATTTGGTCTATAAAAATATAGGTCTAGCCCTATATGCCTGAAGGCTTGGAAAGGGGACCTTTACTTTCCTTATCTCTTTCTGTAGCATTCCTTATAAGGGCATTCTCATCGGCCACACCATCTCGTCATTTGCTCCTTAATGATTTATTGTGCAACTGGTTTTAATCAGTCTTCTACTTTCTTTATTTTTTTTTTTTTTGGCATCAACTATGCCTCACAGTTGTTATATTCTGCAGAGTCCTGGCCACTTACTGAAGACAGTCAACATCCACGGCTCTCTCTTGCTGCAGGAGTTGCTACAGTTTGTCAAGCCCAAGCTGGTGGTGACCAGTCTGCTCAGCCTGTCCCCGGCAGAACTCATGGGCCTGTGCTGTGATAAATGTGGCAGCCATATTGTGGATACATTTTTTAGAAGTGAGATGGTGCTGGATACACACAAATTTGCCTTTCTGAAGAGGTTAGAGGTATGTTTTATTAGGAAAAAAAGAGGTATGTGTCTGTTGTACTCATGTATTCCCCCTGCATAAAAACCTTAAGCTGGGATTTTTTTCACATGGACTTCTAGTAATTTTCCGTCTCTGGGTAGTAAGACTGGACCTCCGTGTGTATTATTGTGCACGTAAAAAAAAATCCCTTGGCAGTTGGAAATTAAAAAAGAGTAGCCTTACAGCGCTGCCCAGCAAAATTAGGAGTTTAATATCTACCCAGAGTAGTTTGGGATCCTTGCCGGTGCTACAAAGTTCATGCACTGCCCTGAGATTCTTCGGACTCAGGCTGGTGTTAGAAGTAGAACAAAACAGTAATGGCTTACTACCCTTGTGCCATGATGTTCCATTCAAACCATAAAACCATGAACTTAGCCTTATAATTAAATTCATCTGCTCTAACAGGGTAATGCATTCTCACGCACCTCACTAATTCATTCACAGAGTTTATACACTAAACAATAACCATCCCAATTACAATAATATAATTAACTCTGAACTAGTCGATATAACCCTGTTATCCCTGATAACATACACACACTCCCTCTCAGATACATTCTGCATCCTTTCAGGAATTAATTACGCCTTGTCCCGTCCAACTCTCATTCTCACTTAAGAATCAGTTTCATCGTAACTTAATAAAACATCCCAACATCACCTGGGCCTACTTACAGTATGCAACAGGTATTGACCTCTGACTTCTCGTCTTCCTGCTAACTACATTTTATGCGACACCCAGATTCAACTTAAATTAGAGGTATATTTCAATAAAGAATTAGAGAATGTTTCATGAAGAAATTAGAGGTATATTACATGAAAAATTTAGAGGTGTGTGTTATGAAACAATTATAGGAATGTTTCATAAAGAAATTAGAGGTTTATTACATGAAATATTAAGAGGTATGTTTTATAAAACAAATTATAGGATTAGTTCATGAGAGGTATATTTCATGAAAGATGTATAGGTGTTGTATTAAACAATAGTTATAGGAATATTTCATGAAGAAGTTAGATGAGTGATTCATGAAGAAATTAGAGGTATATTTTATGAAAGCTTTATAGGTGTTGTATTAAACAATTATAGGAATATTTCATGAAGAAGTTGGATGAATGATTCATGAAGAAATTAGAGGTATATTTCATGAAAGATTTAGAGGTGTGTTTTATTAAACAATTTTAGGAATATTTCATAAATTAGACGTATCATTCATGAAGAAGTTAGAGGTATATTTCATGAAAGATTTAGACGTGTGTGTTATGAAACAATTATAGGAATATTTCATGAAGAAATTAGAGGTATATTTTATGAAAGGTGTGTTTTATTAAACAACTAGCTGTACCCAGCCACGCGTTGCTGTGGCATAGTTTGGCTAAATGGAAATGAAAGAAAATAGAAATTGCACGTGTCTAATACAATCATTGTCTGCTCAGATATAGAAATAGTCTTTGATCCCCGCCCCCCCCCCCCCCCCCAACTAAATCCACCTACTACTCTCTCCCTCATCAAAGGTTTTTGGAAAAGAAAGACAATGGAAATCGCTCGTGTATAATATAGTTAATGTCGCAATCATTCTCTGCACAGATATAGAGATAGTCTGGTTTTCCAACTTTAGAAAACGCACCATATAATTGTGTCTTTATATTAGTGGTCGTTTAAATGGTGTTATTAGCACAGTAACAAAAATGGTTATTTGGTTATCACATGCTAAAGCTGTTTGTATTTTTATAGGAGACGAAAGTAAAGCTACAGCTGTACTTGTAAATAACAAAGTCAGTCGTAAAAAAATTGAATAGCGGAGGTTGCATTAGTAAAATATAAATAAATAAAGTAATGAGAATTTTAAAATCACATGTAAAGCTCTTTAAGTTCTCTTAAATTTAGGTCATTACACACCTCCCCTCCCCTCTTCCACCGACTACTGCTCTCTCCCTCTTCAAAGGATTTGAAAATCATCACCTGGCGATATTTTGTTGTTGTAACTGACATTGACATCCCTGTCCATCCGGACTAAAATGGGGATCAGGAATTGTAATAGGTAGTGAATGGGGCTAGTGTAATATTTACCACATCATCATTCAAGTACCAGTACAACTACTACCACGACCACCACCACAGTAGCTAAAATAATGTCACTGCTATCTGTTTTACCATCGAAGTAGACAGGGAGTCATGCAGGTTAGGATGTATAATTTCACTTGCCGATAGAAGAACGCCATAACCTTACCGGCGGTCTTCACATGAGAGCACTACGGTGTAACAGCCCAACCACAGCTACTACTACTGCTGCTACTTTGAGTGGGTAAAGCAGTTACTGTGACTTAAAGCTCTCTCAGTAAACAGTTTGCACCCCCCCCCCCCCCCTCCAAATTCACCGACTACTCTTTCCCTCATTGAAGTAGTTGGGAGAAAAAAAAACAATCGAAAAGCAAATGAAAACAGGAAAAATACACCATAATTAGGAAATGAACGCTATGGTAAACAGCACAGCTTAAAATTCCAACGCAGATGAAATAATTAAATCTAAATGAAAATAAATGGAAAGCTATGAAATTTAAGCGTAACCATGCAATTGTAAAGTTTAAAAATGAAATCATAAGTATGCAAAATTTTCAAATTTAATTATCAACTGATTTACCCACATACCTGATGGAAACTCAAGATTAACTGTGCAAAGACGGTCTACACAATCTTTACCAAAAGCCACCAAGTAGCAAGGAAGAATATTAACCTGAGGTTAGACAAACACCAAGTGATGAAAGAAGAGCATCCCACATACCTTGGGTCACACTTGACCCGCAGCTCAGCCTCAAGAACCATATTGAAAAACATCAGGAATAAGGCATTGAGGCGGTTACAGTTATTAAAGAGACCTGCAGGTACATCATGGGGATCAGACAAGGAAACTCGAGGGGCTATACCTAGGATATTGTTCGCTCTGTGATAGAGTACAACAACTCACTGCTTACAGCTTGTTCCAAAACTAACCTAGAGACTCTTGACAGAGTACAAAAATAATGCCCTCGATTAATCTGCGGAGCTATGCAGTCTACACCAACTGCTGCATGTGAAATCCATACAAATGTGGAACCCTCGGGTTGCGGAGAGAAAAAGCCACTTTAGAAATTTATGAAAGATGCGTTAGGAAAAATCGTAAACCATCCTAATAGACATCTTGTAGAAAAACTGGGGAATCCAAACAAAGAAATAAAGCACAAAATCGGTTTTACACTGTGTAAATGAAATTCAGGACAGATACCACCTCCCAGAAAGACGTCAAGGAATTCAGAATGTTGCAAAAAACCTACCACCACATGCTCGCTTTAAAGCTCCAGAAGTCCAAAACTAAAATTGGTAGGCGAGAGGAAACCAAACAGTCCGACCCAATCGCTCTTATGAAACTCATCACTAAAGACCGTTGATTCTTACCCCCAAGAATGGATACATGTCTATACTGATGGATCAGCATTTAAAGCTACCATTAAAGCAGGTTACGGAATCTACATAGGTTATCCCGATGGATCTGTTGAAGAGATTTTTGATGCATGCGGGGAATTCTGTTCAAACTATGAAGCTGAAATAATTGCACTGGAAACAGCAGTATACCACCTAAAGACTGTAATGGATGTTTACCCCTCAAAGGTCCAAAATATTGTCATCTTCACAGATTCAATGTCTGCCCTTCAAGCTCTGGAGGGCAATGAACGCTGCAGAAACTGACATAGCCAAGATAATCTGGATGCCGATCATCTTATTACCTCATACAACATCAGAATAGTGATGCAGTGGATTCCAGGTCATCTCGGCACACCAGGTAATGACAGAGCTGACAGATTGGCAAAGAAAGGAGCAACACAAGAACAACCACCTACAGCGACAACCCTTCCAGACAGCAAAAAACACTGATAAGAGCTATAAACAAAGAGACTTGGTTGAACAGATGGGCATGGGAGACACTGGAAAGAGAGGTTTATAGACATATGTCTGGCCCTGATCCTAATGACAGCATTAACCATCTAACAAGAAGGGACCAGGCCACCATCTTCAGACTTAGAACGCAACATACTCCACTCAATGGACACCTAAACAGAATACAGCCACAACACTCCCCAGAGTGCCAGCTATGTAACTACCCCTACGAAACTGTTGAACACATCTCTTTGAGTGCCCAAAACTCAGTGAGACAAGAAGAACGTACTCCCTCCGAGAACCAGACAAGTGGAACACCTGTACGGAGGAAAAGAACAGCTTGGGAAAACATGCAAATTCCACTACATGGCATTGGGCCAAAGGGCGAAAGCTCATGCGCCGCTGGATCGATAACAACAACAACAACAACCCACATACCTGTCCTTTTTTTTTTTTTTTTTTTTTTTTTGCCTCTGTGAGGGAGCCATTTACCATGGGTGAACTACAAAATGCCATCTTTAGGCTTAAGTTAAAAAAGTCTGCAGGTCCAGATGAAATCAGCAACAAAATGCTAATCAACCTGAGCTCATCTGCTAAAGTAAAGCTGCTGGAAAGTTTCAACATCAGCTGGGAGAAAGGTTTGGTGCCTCAAATATGGAGAGAAGCCATCACAATACCCTTTAAAAAAAGGAAAAATTAAGACCCAGCTATCGCCCAATTAGTCTCACAAGCTGTGTAGGAAAGACATTGGAAAGAATTGTAAATTCAAGACTGAAATGGCACTTAGAATCTGAGCAGATCTTGGTGCCAGAGCAGGCTGGGTTTAGGGAATGTCACAGCATAGAAGACCAAGTCACCTACCTGTCACAAGCTGTAGAGAATGCCTTCCAAGAGAAGAAAAAGGTCCTGGCGGTATGGGTTAACTACAAACAAGCTTTTGACAAAGTCTGGAAAGATGGTCTCATTGCAAAACTGATGAGAAATGGAATCCAAGGAAACATGCTAAAATGGATCCAATCCTTCTTACACAGCAGGAGAACTAGAGTCAGTCTTGATGGCCAGCAGAGTAGAAAAGTGTTACTTCGGCAAGGAGTACCACAGGGAGGAGTTATCTCTCCAACTCTCTTTCTTGTGTATATATATGATCTGGTGAAAGACCTCCCTACAGGAGTAAAAGCTGCCCTGTATGCAGATCATCTGGCACTCTGGTGTACTGATGAACACACCACAGTGGCAAATATAGGAATGCAGCGAGCAGCAGATCTCTTGATGACATGGGCAGAAAAGTGGCATGTTGCCATCAACACAGACAAAACATCCACAACACTTTTCTCTCTTTCCCCCAGGGACAAAGCTGCTAATATTCACATAGGAACATCCTTGCTAAAGGAAGAAAGCTTCCCCACTTATCTTGGAGTAACATTTGATAAAAGGCTCACATGGAGCAAACATATAGAAAATGTAGAAAAGAAGGCCAGGAGACGACTAGGCCTACTTAGAAAACTGGCAGGTACAGGATGGGGAGCGAATGGAAAAACCCTCAAGAAAGTTTAAAATGGAGCGATAAGACCCCACTTGGAGTTTGGTGCAACAGCATGGTCAACAGCTGCTAATTCCCATCTACAATCGTTAGACAGAGTGCAAAATCAAGCCCTTAGACTCATCACAGGATCCATGAAAACTGCACCAATCCTGAAGATGCAGAAAATAACTGCAATGCAAACACTGTCCTATAGAAGAGACACTAAAACTATGATCCAGATGGAGAAGTTTGATAGTATGCAGTCACACCCAATGAATAAAAGGTTAGATGATCAGGCATTAGGGCGTCTCAAACGTAGCAGCTTTGTCCATCAGGGGAAAAGACTTAGAAGACAGTATCAAGCTGATCTACCTATTAGAACAACACCGCTGAAACCTACCCTATACCCTGTACCTTGGGAGCAAGTCAGTGATACAATACAGATAATGACTTCAGTCAATGGATTCAGAACTGGAGATGAGTCCAATGATCTTCAAAAACGAACAGCTGCTCTTAGCATGATTCATGAAAACAATCCCGAACAGTCATGGATACATGTTTACACAGATGGATCAGCAACCAGTGCGGTTAAAAATGGGGGTGCTGGAGTCTTTATTACATACCCAGGCAACCACCGACACACAAAGTGGATACCCACTGGTAAATTCTGTTCCAACTACACAGCAGAGATTGTAGCACTAGAGCAGGCTGCCGAAATGTTACACAACACCAGTTCTGACTGCCACCAAGTGGTCATATTCACAGATGCGCTATCAGTGCTTCAAGCCCTCAAGAGTGGCAAACTCCTTCACTTGAGATCTGAACTTGGCAAGGTGGCTGCCCAAAAGTGTACTGTACTCCAGTGGGTGCCATCCCACTGTGGTGTACCAGGAAACGAAACCCGCAGATAAACTTGCTAAAAAAGGGGCAGAATGTGACCAGGAAGAGAATGCAGTAACATACTCTGAGAAGAAAAGGGCCATCCAGGCTATTAGAAGTGAACAGAGTCTGACCAGAGATGACTACCACTTACTTGACCGGCATGGGCAGGTCATTGTCCTACGTCTCAGGACAGGACATAACAAACTTAACCAGCATATGCACAGGCTTCGTCTAAGTAGTTCACCTTTTTGCCCTTGTGGGCTATGTGTGCAGACTACAGAACATGTCCTGCAAGACTGTCCCTTGTTCAGTCCATTAAAAAGAGAATACTGGCCCAGTGAGTCACCAGTGCACGCAAAGTTGTATGGGACTAAAAAGGAACTCATAAAAACAGTCATCTCAAGAACCTGTCTGTCGGTGTAAATCAGAAAGCGAACACATGAGGAAGAAGAAGAAGCTAGTACTGTCGCCAGGTTGTTTGGAGAAAAAAACAGAAAAATAGAAATCGTGTTTAATATGGTTATTGTGGCAATCATTTCCTGCACAGATATAGAGATAGTCTTGTTTGCTGTACTGCGGCCTACTCTATTTATCTCGCCGGCGAATGGTGGAAGTCTTGCGTTCTGACTACGGCACATGCGCATTTACTAATGTGGCTATAATTAACTGTCACTAAAAATGTAAATATTTTTCAAAAATTGTCGCACACTATCTCTAACAATGACAGGTTGAATTTCAAACCATGGTGGGTGAACATCCGGTATCAAAACAAACATATCCTGAAAATTTCAGCTAAATCGGTTCAGTAGTTTCCGAGTCTATAGCTCATAAACAAACACACAAACATTGATTTTTATATATATAGATTATAGATATGTTTCCTGAAGTTATGGGCATATTTAATGAAGATATTCAAGATATATTTCATACAGATATACATTTCATACAGGATATATAAACACACACACACAGACACAAAATCAAGAGACACACAGACACAGTGCACACACAATTATTCATAAACAAATATTCTTATACATAATATATATGTGTCTATGCTTATGTAGGTATAAACGCACATACATACATATACACAAACATATATAAACACAGACACTGTCTTAATAATTAATGGTTAGAAATCTTGATTACTAACCTCTCTTGTGAGTCATATTTAAGAATTGCTGCAGTAACAAAATACATTCTATGTTCTTCCATTTCTGTCTCAGGGGCTGTATGTCAACATTGCATGTAATAGAAATGGGTCTCGCTGTTTGGAGAGTATTTGGAAAGGGAGTTCACTCAAAGCAAAGACTCTGATGGCAGAAGAGTTATCAAAGGTTTGTAGTGAAATGATTTTTTTTAAAATAAAAAAATAAAAAATTCTTTGTATGTTAATCTTTTTGTGCTACACCTTGTTTGTTAGACCTTCTATGTTATACTCTGTATGTTAGACCTTCTGTGTTACACCCTGTACGTTAGACCTTCTGTGTTACACCCTGTACATTAGACCTTCTGTGTTACACTCTTATTGTTAGACCTTCTGTATTACACCCTGTACGTTAGACCTTCTGTGTTACACTCTGTATGTTAGACCTTCTGTGTTACACCCTGTACGTTAGACCTTCTGTGTTACACCCTGTACGTTAGACCTTCTGTGTTACACCCTGTATGTTAGACCTTCTGTGTTACACCCTGTATGTTAGACCTTCTGTGTTATACCCTATATGTTAGACCTTCTGTGTTACACCCTGTATGTTAGACCTTCTGTGTTACACTCTGTATGTTAGACCTTCTGTGTTACACTCTGTATGTTAGACCTTCTGTGTTACACCCTGTATGTTAGACCTTGTGTGTTACACCCTGTATGTTAGACCTTCTTTGTTATACCCTGTATGTTAGACCTTCTGTGTTACACCCTGTACGTTAGACCTTCTATGTTAAGCCCTGTACGTTAGACCTTCTATGTTAAACCCTGTACGTTAGACCTTCTATGTTACATTCTGTATGTTAGACCTTCTGTGTTACACCCTGTATGTTAGACCTTCTGTGTTACACCCTGAATTCCAGAAAAATTTGACTAAAAAGCTCAACAAAATGGGAAAGAGGAAAACGTGCACAAAACAACACAACGTAACGTTTCGGCCAGGCAGCCTTTTTCAAACAAAAACAAAAAAAAAAAAAAACACAAACTGAACAAACAGATGTGTTTACACCCTGTATGTTAGACCTTCTGTGTTACACCCTGTATGTTAGACCTTCTGTGTTACACCCTGTATGTTGGACCTTCTGTGTTACACTCTGTATGTTAGACCTTCTGTGTTACACTCTGTATGTTGGACCTTCTGTGTTACACTCTGTATGTTGGACCTTCTGTGTTACACTCTGTATGTTAGACCTTCTGTGTTACACCCTGTGTGTTAGACCTTCTGTGTTACACTCTGTGTGTTAGACCTTCTGTGTTACACTCTGTATGTTAGACTTTTTGTGTTACACCCTGTATGTTAGACCTTCTGAGTTACACTCTATATGTTAGACCTTCTGTGTTACACTCTGTATGTTAGACCTTCTGTGTTACACTCTGTATGTTAGACCTTCTGTGTTACACCCTGTATGTTAGACCTTCTGTGTTACACCCTGTATGTTAGACTTTCTGTGTTACACTCTATATGTTACAGACCTTCTGTGTTACACTCTATATGTTAGACCTTCTGTGTTACACTCTGTATGTTAGACCTTCTGTGTTACACCCTGTATGTTAGACCTTCTGTGTTACACCCTGTATGTTAGACCTTCTGTGTTACACCCTGCATGTTAGACCTTCTGTGTTATACTCTGTATGTTAGACCTTCTGTGTTACACCCTGTATGTTAGACCTTCTGTGTTACACCCTGTATGTTAGACCTTCTGTGTTACACTCTGTATGTTAGACCTTCTGTGTTACACTCTGTATGTTAGACCTTCTGTGTTACACCCTGTATGTTAGACCTTCTGTGTTACACCCTGTATGTTAGACCTTCTGTGTTACACCCTGTATGTTAGACCTTCTGTGTTACACTCTATATGTTAGACCTTCTGTGTTACACCCTGTATGTTAGACCTTCTGTGTTACACCCTGTATGTTAGACCTTTTGTGTTACACCCTGTATGTTAGACCTTCTGTGTTACACTCTGTATGTTAGACCTTCTGTGTTACACTCTGTAAGTTAGACCTTCTGTGTTACACCCTGAATGTTAGACCTTCTGTGTTACACTCTGTATGTTAGACCTTCTGTGTTACACTCTGTATGTTAGACCTTTTGTGTTACACCCTATATGTTAGACCTTCTGTGTTACACTCTGTATGTTAGACCTTCTGTGTTACACTCTGTATGTTAGACCTTCTGTGTTACACCCTGTATGTTAGACCTTCTATGTTATACCCTGTATGTTAGACCTTCTGTGTTACACCCTGTATGTTAGACCTTCTGTGTTACACTCTGTATGTTAGACCTAATGTTAGACCCTGTATGTTAGACCTTCTGTGTTACACCCTGTATGTTAGACCTAATGTTACACCCTGTATGTTAGACTTTCTGTGTTACTTTTTTAATGTCACACCTTTTATAATAAACCACCTCTGTTAAACATTAAGCACCCCTTGTGGATTCCGGGGCCCTGTTATAGTGAAAACAAGAATAGACCCACTGCCTACCCAAATGCATGTCGTAAGAGTCGACTAATTGGGAGCTTCCTTCGAAGTCGGAGTGCATCTGCCTGAGAGGCAAGGAACCAGCAGTCTGCATACAAATGAGTCAGATCTGTAAAACAGATGCACACGCAACACTCAGGTTCTGGAACAGGACTACAGTCCAGAAGTGGATGAACAACCAGAACTTTCCCCCAGAGTTTACAGCTGGTGAACGTGAAGAAGAAGAAGAAACATTAAGTTTCAGACCATCTGGGCTAGCTAGACCCCTTGTGCTATACCATGTTTGACCTCCTATGTTTGACCTTTGTTACATTGTGTTTCCAGTTTCTGTCCCCTCGTTGTCATTCTCACACTCTTGTGGTTATCTTTGATGAGTTTTCTTGTTGTGTTTTTGCTAATCAGCATCAAGACAGGATAGAAAGCGACCAGTGGGGACATTTCCTGTACCGGAATTTTGCTCTGCTCAAGTTCTCTCAGCGAAGAAAGGAGTGGATCGAAATTCAGGGGGTCAGCACCAAAAAACAGCAGTTGTTAAATGACATTCTTCAAGGTTAGTAAAATCTCCGTTTTCTAATTGTGTATGTGAGCAGGTAAACGAAAGAACAAACTTTATTTTCAAAGGGTCACAAATGGGGCACGCAGGCCGGTCTTACGTTCGGCCCTTCCAGACACCCATCTTTCACACAGCAGTTGTATTTTATCAGTAAAGCATGTTTAGTTCATATAATATGCATATTATCAAAAAAGACAAAAGCATTGGTGGCATGCACACACTCGTGGGCATACACACACACATTTAAACACACACACCCGCATACATACAAACATACGTACATATTACATACACACCCACATTCATACACACACACCCGCATACATACAAACATACATACATATTACATACACACCCACATTCATACACACACACCCGCATACAGAAGTCCACTGTGCGTGGAGTCACCTTTATTTTTGTTCTGGGACACGCAGGCGTCGATGGAAATGAAAGAGCTGACAGGTTGACTGGATCCGCTATCACTACCGACGGTCAGCCTATGGATCATGCTGATATTATCAATGCCCTCAGAGAAATGGGAAGGATAGAGGACTTTGGTGGCAGTGAATCCACATCACTCGCCAGAATGGCAGACTTGGGAATTAAGATCGGCACAGCAAAAAACGAGACGCACACCAGACACGCCAGAAGACTTGTTAATCAACATAGAACTGGTACTATTAGCTATCGGACGTTGGGGTTCATACTGAGGGGAGGATCTGAGCACCTATGGACATGTCCGGAGTGCAATGAGGATAACCCAACTAACTAACTAACTAACTAACACCCGCATACATACATACATATTACATACATACCCACATGCCACATACATACACATACACACACACACACACACACAGGCACACAGAGACACACCAACAGATACAAACACACACACACACGCATTTACAGACACACCCGCAGACACATACTGATAGAGTGAGAGCAGTTTAAGGTTGAATTAAATTACTTGCTACTCATTTCCAGCTCAAAATTTTAATGGGATGTCCCATTTTCAGCTCTGAATATTATGGTCTCCTGATTCATTTAGTAGGTATCAGAGCCAGTGGTCTTAAGAACTAATGTTCCCAATGAGGCTTTTGGCGGACGTTTTTACCCGTGCATTTGGGGGGTGGCTGTTGAGTGCTGTATGTTTTTCGCTTCTAGACACTGCGCCTTTAAGGGCCTCTGACACTGGTAATTTTCCATGGTGCACCAACTGAGTGTGTGGCAGGAGCCTGTTTTGTGACTGCAGATGCTTCTAGGCCTGCGTGTATGATATCTCTCCATTGTATTCAGGGTTTGCCTTTCATTAGTAGATTCCAGAATTCCTGGAGTACGAGAGTAAAGTTTGTTGCATGCAGTTTGAAACAGGCTTTTCTCCTGTGGACTACTGACAGGTGGAAATAGCGCCGGATTCTGAGCCTTGAAAAGATCCACCCCAAACAACTGATAGTAGGTCTGCACATCGGCGGACCAGGATTACAACTTTGAAAAGACAGTTGCCTTAAGAGCAAAGTGTGCAGAGCAAGCTATGGGGAACCATGAATGACATGCGAGTTCATAGAGGCAACCCACCTGATAGTCTTTTCTGAGCATACAAAACGGAACGAAAAGAAGAAGAAACAAGCTTGCATCCATCACTGTGTGGTTTATGCTGATACCTTCCTCCCAAAAATAACAGTTGCACAAATAGATTCTTCTTCTTTGTTTTTTTCAATGTTTTCTTTTTTTTTTGTGTGACTTTTTTATAATGTGCATATTACAACAGAACCGTTTACAATTGTGCCTTTCAGCCAAAACATCTGACTTTTGGGAAATTTGTTGCTCAGATTAGTCATACCAGAGATATGTGTTAATTGCAGAAATCCTGAAGAGACCTATATGTGTACTTTAAATTTAATATAAATCTTTTCATTTTGTTTTCTCAGGTAAAGGAAGAAAGAAGAACAAGAAGAAGCAATCCAAAGAGACAACACAAATAAATGAGGTTTGTAATGTTTGTGAGAATGGTTAGTTTATTTAGTTGACCTGAATAAATTACACTCGTCAACAACCAGAATGTACCAGAAATGAAAATAGATATTAACTAATCTTAGCGAGCTGAAAGTGAAAATAACAGTAAAAAATGTTTATTGGCTCTACTTTTCAAGATTTGTGCTACCAGTTTATTTAATTACAACCAGTTTATACAGATGTATGACACAGTTGTTGTGGACACAAGCGCTTGCCTGGCTTGAAACACAAAAATACACCCGCGTGTGTATACTCAGTGATTCAATGAGTATGATCCGGAGGGTTCAGGCAGGTTCAGTGCGAAGATAATGGCTTGAATCATTACAGAAGTCCACTGTTCGTGGAGTCACCTTTATTTTTGTTCCGGGACACGCAGGCGTCGATGGAAATGAAAGAGCTGACAGGTTGGCTGGATCCGCTATCACTACCGACGGTCAGCCTATGGATCATGCTGATATTATTAATGCCCTCAGAGAAATGGGAAGAATAGAGGACTTTGGTGGCAGTGAATCCACATCACTCGCCAGAATGGCAGACTTGGGAATTAAGATCGGCACAGCAAAAAACGAGACGCACACCAGCTACGCCAGAAGACTTGTTAATCAACATAGAACTGGTACTATTAGCCATCGGACGTTGGGGTTCATACTGAGGGGAGGATCTGAGCACCTATGGACATGTCCGGAGTGCAATGAGGAAAACCCAACTAACTAACTAACTAACTAAGTTGTTGTGGACAGTTGCATAATTGTTTTCTAGTGGCCAATAAAAATGTAAATAGAAGTTAATGATGTAGTCCTACCGAAGATTACGAGACCTTTGTGTATAAATAAATATGTCTTCTTTTTCTTCTTCTTCTTCTTAAAGTCCATGCTGTGTGGCGTTGGTAGTCATGTCTAGCCACTACCTTCTGTCTCGTGTACTTTCAGTGAACACTGTTACAGATGATTCTCCGTGCCATGATGTCAGACTATCCAGCATTTGTTCTGTCGGTCTCCCTCTGCCTGTGCTCCCCTCCTGCATTACTTCTGTCACGATGTACTCTAGTTTTCTTCTTCTCACATGACCATAGAATGTAGATTGTCTCTTTCTGATGTGAGCAATCCGTTCTCTTCGTGAGTCAGTTTCTTTCAAAACGTCATCATTACTCTTTTTATCTGTTCAGGGTATTCTCATCATTCGTCTATAAAACCACATTTCCGCAGCTTCCATTTAATTTTTCACTTATCTATCAACTGTCCACGATTCATTTCCATATAAAAAAAAAGTAAAGTAAAGATCCCTTTTCACGCCTTTCGGCGCATCGGGCATATGGGCAGAGCGTCCCATATTTTACAGACCATCAGCACTCTGTGGGTAATGTGGTCAGCATTATGCCGGCTGTCTTTACTTTCCCAGGACAGCCCATCCTGGTACCCATTTTAGGCTGGGCCGACCTGCGACGTCCCATACCACGACAAAAATCCACGCAGCCTGCAGTGGGTTTTGATCGCGGTATGCTGGCTTACGAGTCGGACTCGCAACGCCTTAGCCACGGACACCGCCATTTCCATATATCAAGATAAAATTTATATAGCTTTTAAGAATTCTCATTCTCATCTCAACTGACAAAGAAAGATTACATAAAACATTCTTCATTTTGTAAAATGCTGCCTTTGCTTGAGATAAATATCTTATCTCTTGTAAAATTTTGCCATTAGTTAGTGCACTGGTCCTTATTAAAATAATTGTAGCTCGAAATTATTTGGATATTTTTTTTCCCAAAGATGTCGACCCTTCTCTGTCCACAACACTTAGGTTTGATGACAACCCTCAAAATCAGTTACAAACTGGAAGAGGTAACGCTTTTCATTGATTCATTCAAGACAAGTCCTAAAGCTGTTTTGTTGAATAATCAGGTGTTACCATCAATTCCAGTTGGTCACACTGTTGCAGATCACAGATTGTGTAGAGGCGTGATCACTCACACAAGTTGTCAAGCCACTTGATGATTATGAATCCCTATGTGAGTTCTTGGGGTCCAAAATTTTGAGGGAAAATGCCTTCACCCCTATTCCCCCCCACCAGTCACGTTCAACTAGCATTCCTGAAGGGGGAGCTTTAGGTTATAATTGTGACTAGGTTATGTGCACATGGCATAGTATTGCACGCCACCAAGAGCTCTGAAAAGGACTTCTGCAGTGTTGAGGCAATCAAAGGGGACCGCCCCAAAATACACGAGCCAATAGGCGACCCAGTGTGGTGTGTAAATAGCTTTTGTTTTTAATGGCATTTTTATATTTGTTTTGAACTTTTTCATTCTTGTAGGCAGTCGCAGAACTCAGTGTCCCCGAAGACCGTAAAGACTCAGCAAACACCGACATGCCCAAGACATAGAAGCTGAGACAGACTCAACACCTGATCAGTCGCAAAGAAAACAGTTGAAGAAAAAGTCAAAGTCTATCAACGAAATAACACAAACAGTGTCTGAATCAAGTCCAACAAAGAAAAAGTCAAAGCTCAACAATACCGAAACAACACTAACAGAGTCTGAATCAAGTCCAACAAAGAAAAGGTCAAAGCCTTACAGTGTAACGACACCCACAGTGTCTGAATCAAAAGAAAGGTCAAAACCCAACAGTGAAATTATGTCTGCCTTGTCTGATGAAAATGCCCATACTCCATCTGATAATGACAACTTGTCGAAAAAGAAAAGAAAGAGAAACAAGGAAAAGAAGAGAGTTGTTCGAAATGCAGATTTAGAAAACTCAAATGAAACTAGTGTGTGACACTGATGTTGTTAAAGTTAAAACTCCAAAAAAGAAGAGAAAATTATAAATTTGAACCTGTGATATTTTTAAAAAAATTGATCAGATCATGCATGGGTTTGTAGTCATTATCATTCATCATTCATTCTTCAGCATTCCGAACCCTTGAGGTTCTTTGCTGCAGATATCAGCTGCCTCCACTCAACTCTCAGGTTGGCCTTCTCTTCCCAGTTGGTGACACCAAGTGTTTGCAAGTCTGTCTGGATATTATCTCTCCATCGTCTTCTTGGTCTGCCTTGTGGTCTACGACCAGTCATCTTCCTCATGTATACAGTTTTTACTTCTCTGTCATCTGACATTCTTTCAGTATGGTAGTTTGTAGTGTTACTAATATTTCCTTTTTCTGTGGTGCCTGGTGACACACCAACATTTCATAATCACTGGTTTCTAAAGCAAGAGCTACAATATTCTTCTTTTTTTTTCATTTAATCTGTTACCACTTCGGGTGTTGATGGAGATATAAGGTTCTGCTTCTAGCTCTTCTGGCCACTTCCCCCATAGACACATCCTGCAGTTGTAGAGTTTCTCTGATGTTATTTTTCCATCTTGTTCTTGGTCTTCCTCTTGTTCTGTCTTTTCTGCTCTTTTAATGCCTGCCCTTTATTTTACAATGTTACGAGGTGGGCAAACCATTTGATTTGCTGGCTTTGTACGTAAATTAGAATTCCTTCCTTGTCGACTGTTTTTTCTCTCTTAAGACTCATTCCTGGTTTGATTTCTTCGGTTCATTCCTGCTGCCCTTCCCAGACGTCTCATCTCCATTGTTACTTCTTCTTCTTCGCGTTCATCGGCTGTCAGCTCTGGGGGAAAAGTTCTGATTGTTTGTCCCCCTCTGGATTCCACCTGTTTCAGAAACAGAGTGTTGCGTTCACATTCATTTCACAGGTTTGACTCATTCGCATGCACACTGTTGGTTCCTTGCCTCTCAGATGTACTCCAGCTTTGAAAGAGGCTCTCAGTTAGTGGACTCATACGACATGCTTTTGGGCAGGCAGTGGGTCTATGTTTGTTTTCCCCACAGTAGGACCCTGGAACCTACACAAGGAACATGGTTACTAATTTACGATATTCTGGCCTGTGAAATTATAAAGCATATTCTAAAATTAACTAGAATAAAATCTCGAGCCATTTCTATGTTCAAGCACCTGCTTTTTGAAGGTCAGTTTAAAGCATTTGGTGCTTTGTTTCCCAGTCTTGTAATATTTAGATAATGGACATGATCTAATAATATTTGATTCGATTGGCACCTTTCCTTCTTTCCAGACAATATTGTTATATTGTGCTATAAGGAGGCATGAGACTCACAGCCCACGGCGCTGAGGAGTGAGACTAGCAAGACCCGCCCGTGTCAATAAAAATCTTCCACAATGATAGCATGGGATTTCAGGACCATATTTGTCAACATTTGTGTTTAATCCGTTTCTTTTCAGACGCTCAGCTGTCATCCTTTCTGCAATCATTTCTTCCTTCACTCTTATTCCCTTCCTGATATGCCCTTTCCACACAACACGGTCCGTCTACACAGCACAAAGCCTGGGCAGTATTGTAGAGAGCATATGTTGCCCATGCATCATGATCTAATAATAACATGTCAATAAATATCACTTTTGGTTTTATTTACTTGTTAATTTATTGTGTGTGTGTGTGCATTGAGGAGTTCATTTGATAATTGACAGGTTGCAGTTCATTTGATATTTGACAAATTGCAGTTCATTTGATATTTGACAGATTGCAGTTCATTAGATATTTGACAGATTGCAGTTTGATATTTGACAGATTGCAGTTTATTTGATATTTGACAGATTGCAGTTCATTTGATATTTGACAGATTGCAGTTCATTTGATATCTGACAGTTTATAGTTTATTTGATATTTGACAGATTGCAGTTCATTTGATATTTGACAGTTTGCAGTTCATTTGATATTTGACAGTTTGCAGTTCATTTGATATTTGACAGATTGCTGTCTTCTGTTTTCCTGATTTATCCTTGTAAACATTCTAGGGTTCTCTTCTTCTTCTACTACTTATTCTTCCTATTATCCTCATCTTCTCTATATCTAAACCCTGCTTCTTTCTCCTTTTTTTGTGTGTCTGTTTCTTACTTCTCTTCCATCTCCTTTTCTCCCATCTCAAAACCTCAACACACTACCTTCTTATTATAGTTACACACCCACGTTGGGCAGTAGATTAATTCTTAACTTCAGTGTTCTCGCACTTTTTCACTGGGTATGCTTCTCACCAATTCGCCAGCTTGTCTCACATTGTTCATGAATCACGCTTCGTATTCGATTCCGTTCACTCGAGCTGAAGTACATGATTTATGTTTAGTATCTAACCTTATTACCAATGCAAACAAATTATCAAGGAGAAAATGACTCCTTACAATCCGTTTGGTTCCAATTCATGAGAGTTAATTTTATTTCATTCAAGAACCGACATCACGACATTCCCATAAGCGCTTCATCCTCATCTTCAGCAGCCAGCAAAGAGTTTCGATGCTAATGGTGCCAGTAGCATTTTGATTAAACGTATGTCTTGCCTTTCCTCTGAGCCTCCAGCATCTGCCAGAACCTCTCGTCACTCCCCCTGAATCAATCTCACCAGACTGTTGTTGTGATCCATCTGCTCCTCCGTACTGTACACGCTCTCCCACAATTCACTAACCACGTCTGCCTCATCATGCATCAGTATTCCACCAAGTTGTGCAGAGCCAGCCAGTCTGTCATGAGAGTTAAATACTACAAAGTTTACTCATGGAGGGAAACAACACACACATTCTCATCATGTAGCAGGTTCTTTGCAGAATGTCGCTCTCATCACAGCCTGCCTGAAAGAAACTTGGTCTCTCGCCAGCTTTTCCACCTTTTGTACTTGCATACTCAAGGTTTCACTTATAGCCTGTGCCCATCTTCGTGTTGGTCGGCCCCTGCCCCTCCTTCCTGGTACCATGCCTTCTGCTATTATTTTTTCCAATCGGCTCTTGATATGACCAAAATATGTCAGCTTCCGAGACAAGATGCTTTCATAATGAGTTTAGTCAAGAGCAGTTTAACAACTACCAACATTCAACGGCCAAATTTCAAAGAGCCAAACTGCAGGCTAGACGGAGAAGCTGGCAGGAAAAGACAAAGTCTCTAAACTTTGAAAGAGACACAAGGAAGCTGTGGAGGTTAATTAAGCAAATTAATGATGAGAATACAGGAAGAAATGGTAATATTGCACTATGCAAAGAGGGAGCCATCCTAACATGAAAACAGGCAGCTGACCACTTTGCAGATTCCTTTGCAGAAGACAGCAACATTAATGTCAGCCCAGAGAAACAGCGAGAGGTTCAAGAAAACAAACAACATACAAGACAAAAAGATATAATTCCTGAGGCACTGGTGGCAGCATTTACATCCAGCGAGTTAGAATTAGCAATATCAAAGCTGAAAATGGGAAAATTACCTGGAACTGATGGAATCACCAACGAAATGATCAAGAACCTTGGAACAACTGCCAAAATAAAGCTGCTACAGATCTTTAATCATTGTTGGACAAGTGGCAAAGTTCCTCAAATATGGAGAGAAGCAATCACAATACCTCTGCTTAAACCAGGAAAGGACAGTTCTGATGCCTCCAGCTATAGACCGATCAGTCTTACCAGCTGCCTCTGTAAAACAATGGAACGTATTGTCAACCTTAGACTCCAATGGTACTTGGAAAGTGAAAACATTTTCACGCCGCAGCAGGCAGGATTTAGACAGTGCTACTCCACAGAAGACCAGACAACTTACCTTTCACAAGAAATTGAGGATGCCTTCCAGGAAAAGAAGCTAGTGCTAACGGCATGGATAGATCTGAAGAAAGCCTTTGACAAGGTCTGGAAAGAAGGTCTACTGAAGAAACTGAGAGACTGCGGGGTGAATGGGAGTATGTACAAATGGGTGAAAGCATACTTGTATAACAGAAGATCCCGAGTACAGATAGATGGACTCAAGAGTAAGAAAGTTTTGCTGCGCCACGGCGTCCCACAAGGAGGTGTCCTGTCCCCCACACTCTTCCTAGTCTATATCAACGACCTGCTTTCTGAACTACCCCATGGAATTAAAGCTGCAATGTATGCTGATGACTTGGTACTCTGGTGTACAAATGAAAATGCGACAGTGGCCACCAGACTGCTACAAAGAGCCATAGATGCAATGGCTGATTGGGCCGACAAATGGTGTGTCAGCATCAATATAGGCAAATGCAGCACCACCCTCTTTACCCTTTCTCCTAAACAAAAATCAGGTGTCATGCACATAAATGGAGTACCCCTGAGAGAGGATAAGGAGCCCACATACCTCGGCGTAATGTTTGATGATAGATTAACATGGAGAAAACACATCAACAAGGCAGCAACCAAAGCCAGAAGGAGGGTAGCCATTCTGAGAAAACTAAGTGGAACTACATGGGGTGCTAGCGGGAAAATACTTAGGAAAGTTTACCAACAAAGTGTTCGACCACATCTTGAATACGGATCAACAGCATGGAGTTCGGCATTAAAAACCACATTGCAAGAATTAGATAAAGTGCAAAATCAAGCA